GACTGATGGTACCTGCAGTATTTCTCATGTTCAGGTTGTACGTGTGTTACTGATGGTACCTGTGTGACTGATGGTACCTGTGTGACTGATGGTACCTGTGTGACTGATGGTACCTGCAGTATTTCTCATGTTCAGGCTGTACGTGTGTTACTGATGGTACCTGTGTGACTGATGGTACCTGTGTGACTGATGGTACCTGTGTGACTGATGGTACCTGTGTGACTGATGGTACCTGTGTGACTGATGGTACCTGCAGTATTTCTCATGTTCAGGTTGTACGTGTGTTACTGATGGTACCTGTGTGACTGATGGTACCTGTGTGACTGATGGTACCTGTGTGACTGATGGTACCTGTGTGACTGATGGTACCTGCAGTATTTCTCATGTTCAGGCTTGTACGTGTGTTTACTGATGGTACCTGTGTGACTGATGGTACCTGTGTGACTGATGGTACCTGTGTGACTGATGGTACCTGTGTGACTGATGGTACCTGTGTGACTGATGGTACCTGCAGTATTTCTCATGTTCAGGTTGTACGTGTGTTACTGATGGTACCTGTGTGACTGATGGTACCTGTGTGACTGATGGTACCTGTGTGACTGATGGTACCTGCAGTATTTCTCATGTTCAGGTTGTACGTGTGTGACTGATGGTACCTGTGTGACTGATGGTACCTGTGTGACTGATGGTACCTGCAGTATTTCTCATGTTCAGGTTGTACGTGTGTTACTGATGGTACCTGTGTGACTGATGGTACCTGTGTGACTGATGGTACCTGTGTGACTGATGGTACCTGCAGTATTTCTCATGTTCAGGTTGTACGTGTGTTACTGATGGTACCTGTGTGACTGATGGTACCTGTGTGACTGATGGTACCTGCAGTATTTCTCATGTTCAGGTTGTACGTGTGTTACTGATGGTACCTGTGTGACTGATGGTACCTGTGTGACTGATGGTACCTGATTTTCTCATGTTCAGGTTGTACGTGTGACTGATGGTACCTGTGTGACTGATGGTACCTGTGTTACTGATGGTACCTGTGTGACTGATCGTACCTGTGTGACTGATGGTACCTGCAGTATTTCTCATGTTCAGGTTGTACGTGTGTTACTGATGGTACCTGTGTGACTGATGGTACCTGTGTGACTGATGGTACCTGTGTGACTGATGGTACCTGTGTGACTGATGGTACCTGTGTGACTGATGGTACCTGTGTGACTGATGGTACCTGCAGTATTTCTCATGTTCAGGTTGTACGTGTGTTACTGATGGTACCTGTGTGACTGATGGTACCTGTGTGACTGATGGTACCTGTGTGACTGATGGTACCTGCAGTATTTCTCATGTTCAGGTTGTACGTGTGTTACTGATGGTACCTGTGTGACTGATGGTACCTGTGTGACTGATGGTACCTGCAGTATTTCTCATGTTCAGGTTGTACGTGTGACTGATGGTACCTGTGTGACTGATGGTACCTGTGTTACTGATGGTACCTGTGTGACTGATCGTACCTGTGTGACTGATGGTACCTGCAGTATTTCTCATGTTCAGGTTGTACGTGTGTTACTGATGGTACCTGTGTGACTGATGGTACCTGTGTGACTGATGGTACCTGTGTGACTGATGGTACCTGTGTGACTGATGGTACCTGTGTGACTGATGGTACCAGTGTGACTGATGGTACCTGCAGTATTTCTCATGTTCAGGCTGTACGTGTGTTACTGATGGTACCTGTGTGACTGATGGTACCTGTGTGACTGATGGTACCTGTGTGACTGATGGTACCTGTGTGACTGATGGTACCTGCAGTATTTCTCATGTTCAGGTTGTACGTGTGTTACTGATGGTACCTGTGTGACTGATGGTACCTGTGTGACTGATGGTACCTGCAGTATTTCTCATGTTCAGGTTGTACGTGTGACTGATGGTACCTGTGTGACTGATGGTACCTGTGTTACTGATGGTACCTGTGTGACTGATCGTACCTGTGTGACTGATGGTACCTGCAGTATTTCTCATGTTCAGGTTGTATGTGTGTTACTGATGGTACCTGTGTGACTGATGGTACCTGTGTGACTGATGGTACCTGTGTGACTGATGGTACCTGTGTGACTGATGGTACCAGTGTGACTGATGGTACCTGCAGTATTTCTCATGTTCAGGTTGTACGTGTGTTACTGATGGTACCTGTGTGACTGATGGTACCTGTGTGACTGATGGTACCTGTGTGACTGATGGTACCTGTGTGACTGATGGTACCTGTGTGACTGATGGTACCTGTGTGACTGATGGTACCTGCATTATTTCTCATGTTCAGGTTGTACGTGTGTTACTGATGGTACCTGTGTGACTGATGGTACCTGTGTGACTGATGGTACCTGTGTGACTGATGGTACCTGTGTGACTGATGGTACCTGCAGTATTTCTCATGTTCAGGTTGTACGTGTGTTACTGATGGTACCTGTGTGACTGATGGTACCTGTGTTACTGATGGTACCTGCAGTATTTCTCATGTTCAGGTTGTACGTGTGTTACTGATGGTACCTGTGTGACTGATGGTACCTGTGTGACTGATGGTACCTGTGTGACTGATGGTACCTGTGTGACTGATGGTACCTGTGTGACTGATGGTACCTGCAGTATTTCTCATGTTCAGGTTGTACGTGTGTTACTGATGGTACCTGTGTGACTGATGGTACCTGTGTTACTGATGGTACCTGCAGTATTTCTCATGTTCAGGTTGTACGTGTGTTCCCTCTACCTGGGCGCTGTTACCACGGCGACCTCTGCTCCTGCCTTAGGGCATCAGGGTCAAATGCAGAGGATCAATAAAGCTCACTTTAGAGGACAGGACAGGAGCTCTGACAGCAGCCGCTGCTCCCTCTCATACAGTGAATAACACTTTGAAGCTGCCGCCCTCTTGTGTCCGCGGAGGGTTACTGCTGCTCTAATTGAGCTGATTAAAAAAGTGAATAAATGAGCGGCTCGTGGGGCTTTGAAGCCTTTGATCTGCCGACAACAAAAGAAACAAAGAGAAGACACCGCGGCGTCCCAGACCAGGTCCTAGACCAGGTCCTAGACCAGGTCCCAGACCAGGTCCCGGACCCAGGTCCCGGACCCAGGTCCCGGACCAGGTCCCGGACCCAGGTCCCGGACCCAGGTCCCGGACCCATGTCCCAGACCATGTCCCAGGCCCCTGTCCCAGACCAGGTCCCAGACCAGGTCCCAGACCAGGTCCCAGACCATGTCCCAGACCATGTCCCAGACCCCTGTCCCAGACCATGTCCCAGACCATGTCCCAGACCATGTCCCAGACCCTGTCCCAGACCATGTCCCAGACCATGTCCCAGACCCCTGTCCCAGACCATGTCCCAGACCATGTCCCAGACCCCTGTCCCAGACCATGTCCCAGACCATGTCCCAGACCAGGTCCCAGACCAGGTCCCAGACCATGTCCCAGACCATGTCCCAGACCATGTCCCAGACCATGTCCCAGACCCCTGTCCCAGACCCAGACAGACTGGAGCCAGAGCCACACGCGGAGAGCGACCCAAGCCGCGCCTGAAAGTAGTCCCGGCTCTTCAGCAGCAGGAAGTCAATCACAATCATCGATCTGCTCCATTCACCCACACAGCACAACATCCGCCGCTCGCTGACTTTACGCTGGCTTTAAATGCGACATCACTCTGGACCAGCTGCGTCCTGCTTCGTTGTACACAATGACACCGCCCACGTCATTACAGCATTAAACACAGTTTATCACAGTGTGTAACGTGAGGACGTTTATGTGACGTGGCCGCAGTCTAAAGGGTTCGGGTTCGGGTTAAAGGGAGGACGTCCTGTGGAGGAGAGAGAAAAGAGGAAGGGACTAGTTGTTAGGTCGCAGCGGAGGGATACATGAGTGCGACCTAAGAACTAGTCCCGTCCTTAGGTCGCAGCGGAGGGATACATGAGTGCGACCTAAGAACTAGTCCCGTCCTTAGGTCGCAGCGGAGGGATACATGAGTGCGACCTAAGAACTAGTCCCGTCCTTAGGTCGCAGCGGAGGGATACATGAGTGCGACCTAAGAACTAGTCCCGTCCTTAGGTCGCAGCGGAGGGATACATGAGTGCGACCTAAGAACTAGTCCCGTCCTTAGGTCGCAGCGGAGGGATACATGAGTGCGACCTAAGAACTAGTCCCGTCCTTAGGTCGCAGCGGAGGGATACATGAGTGCGACCTAAGAACTAGTCCCGTCCTTAGGTCGCAGCGGAGGGATACATGAGTGCGACCTAAGAACTAGTCCCGTCCTTAGGTCGCAGCGGAGGGATACATGAGTGCGACCTAAGAACTAGTCCCGTCCTTAGGTCGCAGCGGAGGGATACATGAGTGCGACCTAAGAACTAGTCCCGTCCTTAGGTCGCAGCGGAGGGATACATGAGTGCGACCTAAGAACTAGTCCCGTCCTTAGGTCGCAGCGGAGGGATACATGAGTGCGACCTAAGAACTAGTCCCGTCCTTAGGTCGCAGCGGAGGGATACATGAGTGCGACCTAAGAACTAGTCCCGTCCTTAGGTCGCAGCGGAGGGATACATGAGTGCGACCTAAGAACTAGTCCCGTCCTTAGGTCGCAGCGGAGGGATACATGAGTGCGACCTAAGAACTAGTCCCGTCCTTAGGTCGCAGCGGAGGGATACATGAGTGCGACCTAAGAACTAGTCCCGTCCTTAGGTCGCAGCGGAGGGATACATGAGTGCGACCTAAGAACTAGTCCCGTCCTTAGGTCGCAGCGGAGGGATACATGAGTGCGACCTAAGAACTAGTCCCGTCCTTAGGTCGCAGCGGAGGGATACATGAGTGCGACCTAAGAACTAGTCCCGTCCTTAGGTCGCAGCGGAGGGATACATGAGTGCGACCTAAGAACTAGTCCCGTCCTTAGGTCGCAGCGGAGGGATACATGAGTGCGACCTAAGAACTAGTCCCGTCCTTAGGTCGCAGCGGAGGGATACATGAGTGCGACCTAAGAACTAGTCCCGTCCTTAGGTCGCAGCGGAGGGATACATGAGTGCGACCTAAGAACTAGTCCCGTCCTTAGGTCGCAGCGGAGGGATACATGAGTGATCCGCACCTTCAGCTACAGTGGGAACAGAACACTGCGAATAACGCCACTAAATCACTCAAATTAGGACAAAAAGTAGATTAAAGAGAGGTTTATGTGTCTCCACGTCAGGGCTGGAGTGTGGGCATGTGTGTCGCTGAAAGGTACGTACTTTTAATGCTGTGTTCGGTGTTAAAAACACTGATTTGCGCTGGGCTGAGCCCTGGTTAGCCCTGGTTAGCCCTGGTTAGCACATGCTAAAGTTTGGACCAGTTTTAAAAGTGTGTGGTCCACATTATAACATTATACTGAGAATAAATACTATGTGAGGGGATACAGCTCTGCGTGTCTGGTCCAGGACTGCTGGTGTGAACTCATGGTGGAGACATTAAGTGTTCTTTAACTTGAGCAATGCTAATGCTAATGCTAATGCTAGTTAGCCTTAGCTCAGGAGACTGTGTTTGTGCTTTGTGCTCAGGAAGCTCTTAGAAGTGCTCAGAGGTAGAGCCGCAGAGGTAGAGCCGCAGTGTGACTCTCTCTGGACTCTTTTGGATCCTTTTGGTGCTAAATCTTCTGTCTTTGCTCACATGTTATGTATGACGTCATCACGTTATTCAAAGCAAGGTCAATTCATTTAGCCTAATACACATGTTTAAAGCTGGGGTTTGTAACTCTGGTCACTCTTCCTCTGGTCTCTCTCTCACTCTGGTCTCTCTCCCTCTCTGGTCTCTCTCCCTCTCTGGTCTCTCTCCCTCTCTGGTCTCTCTCCCTCTCTGGTCTCTCTCCCTCTCTGGTCTCTCTCCCTCTCTGGTCTCTCTCCTCTCTGGTCTCTCTCCCTCTCTGGTCTCTCTCTCTCTCTGGTCTCTCTCCCTCTCTGGTCTCTCTCCCTCTCTGGTCTCTCTCCCTCTCTGGTCTCTCTCTCTCTCTGGTCTGTCTCCCTCTCTGGTCTGTCTCCCTCTCTGGTCTGTCTCCCTCTCTGGTCTGTCTCCCTCTCTGGTCTGTCTCCCTCTCTGGTCTCTCTCTGGTCTCTCCCTCTCTGGTCTCTCTCTCTCTCTGGTCTCTCTCCCTCTCTGGTCTGTCTCCCTCTCTGGTCTCTCTCTGGTCTCTCTCTGGTCTCTCTCTGGTCTCTCTCTGGTCTCTCTCCCTCTCTGGTCTCTCTCTGGTCTCTCTCCCTCTCTGGTCTCTCTCCCTCTCTGGTCTCTCTCCCTCTCTGGTCTCTCTCTCTCTCTGGTCTGTCTCCCTCTCTGGTCTCTCTCTGGTCTCTCTCTGGTCTCTCTCTGGTCTCTCTCTGGTCTCTCTCCCTCTCTGGTCTCTCTCTGGTCTCTCTCTCCTCTCTGGTCTCTCTCCCTCTCTGGTCTCTCTCTCTCTCTGGTCTCTCTCCCTCTCTGGTCTCTCTCCCCTCTCTGGTCTCTCTCTCTCTCTGGTCTCTCTCTCTGGTCTCTCTCCCCCTCTGGTCTCTCTCCCTCTAGTCTCTCTCCCTCTTGTCTCTCCCTCTCTGGTCTCTCTCCCTCTCTGATCTCTCTCTCTCCCTCTCTGGTCTCTCTCTCTCTCTCTGGTCACTCTCTCTCTCTGGTCTCTCTCTCTCTCTCTGGTCTCTCTCTCTCTCTCTCTCTGGTCTCTCTCTCTCTCTCTCTCTCTCTCTCTGGTCTCTCTCTCTCTCTCTCTCTCTCTGGTCTCTCTCTCTCTCTCTCTCTCTCTGGTCTCTCTCTCTCTCCCTCTCTCTGGTCTCTCTCTCTCTCCCTCTCTGGTCTCTCTCTCTCTCCCTCTCTGGTCTCTCTCTCTCTCTCTGGTCACTCTCTCTCTCTGGTCTCTCTCTCTCTCTCTGGTCTCTCTCCCTCTCTGGTCTCTCTCTGGTCTCTCTCCCTCTCTGGTTTCTCTCCCTCTCTGGTCTCTCTCTGGTCTCTCTCTCTGGTCTCTCTCCCCCTCTGGTCTCTCTCCCTCTAGTCTCTCTCCCTCTAGTCTCTCCCTCTCTGGTCTCTCTCCCTCTTCTGATCTCTCTCTCTCCCTCTCTGATCTCTCTCTCTCCCTCTCTGGTCTCTCTCTCTCTCTCTGGTCTCTCTCTCTCTCTCTCTGGTCACTCTCTCTCTCTGGTCTCTCTCTCTCTCTCTCTCTGGTCTCTCTCTCTCTCTCTCTCTCTCTCTCTCTGGTCTCTCTCTCTCTCTCTCTCTCTCTCTCTCTCTCTGGTCTCTCTCTCTCTCTCTCTCTCTCTGGTCTCTCTCTCTCTCTCTCTCTCTCTGGTCTCTCTCTCTCTCTCCTCTCTGGTCTCTCTCTCTCTCCCTCTCTGGTCTCTCTCTCTCTCTCTGGTCACTCTCTCTCTCTGGTCTCTCTCTCTCTCTCTGGTCTCTCTCTCTCTCTCTCTCTGGTCTCTCTCTCTCTGGTCTCTCTCTCTCTCTCTCTCTCTCTGGTCTCTCTCTCTCTCTCTCTCTCTCTGGTCTCTCTCTCTCTCTCTCTCTCTCTGGTCTCTCTTTCTCTCTCTCTCTCTGTGGTCTCTCTCTCTCTCTCTCTCTCTCTGGTCTCTCTCTCTCTCTCTCTCTCTCTGGTCTCTCTCTCTCTGTGGTCTCTCCCAGGCCCATGTGTCTGTTCCAGACTGACCCAGGCCCATGTGTCTGTTCCAGACTGACCCAGGCCCACGTGTCTGTTCCAGACTGACCCAGGCCCACGTGTCTGTTCCAGACTGACCCAGGCCCACGTGTCTGTTCCAGACTGACCCAGGCCCATGTGTCTGTTCCAGACTGACCCAGGCCCACGTGTCTGTTCCAGACTGACCCAGGCCCATGTGTCTGTTCCAGACTGACCCAGGCCCATGTGTCTGTTCCACACTGACCCAGGCCCATGTGTCTGTTCCACACTGACCCAGGCCCACGTGTCTGTTCCAGACTGACCCAGGCCCACGTGTCTGTTCCAGACTGACCCAGGCCCACGTGTCTGTTCCAGACTGACCCAGGCCCACGTGTCTGTTCCAGACTGACCCAGGCCCATGTGTCTGTTCCACACTGACCCAGGCCCATGTGTCTGTTCCAGGATGACCCAGGCCCATGTGTCTGTTCCAGACTGACCCAGGCCCATGTGTCTGTTCCACACTGACCCAGGCCCATGTGTCTGTTCCAGACTGACCCAGGCCCACGTGTCTGTTCCAGACTGACCCAGGCCCACGTGTCTGTTCCAGACTGACCCAGGCCCACGTGTCTGTTCCAGACTGACCCAGGCCCACGTGTCTGTTCCAGACTGACCCAGGCCCACGTGTCTGTTCCAGACTGACCCAGGCCCATGTGTCTGTTCAGACTGACCCAGGCCCACGTGTCTGTTCCAGACTGACCCAGGCCCACGTGTCTGTTCCAGACTGACCCAGGCCCATGTGTCTGTTCCAGACTGACCCAGGCCCACGTGTCTGTTCCAGACTGACCCAGGCCCATGTGTCTGTTCCAGACTGACCCAGGCCCATGTGTCTGTTCCAGACTGACCCAGGCCCACGTGTCTGTTCCAGACTGACCCAGGCCCACGTGTCTGTTCCAGACTGACCCAGGCCCACGTGTCTGTTCCAGACTGACCCAGGCCCATGTGTCTGTTCCAGACTGACCCAGGCCCCACGTGTCTGTTCCAGACTGACCCAGGCCCACGTGTCTGTTCCAGACTGACCCAGGCCCATGTGTCTGTTCCACACTGACCCAGGCCCATGTGTCTGTTCCAGACTGACCCAGGCCCACGTGTCTGTTCCAGACTGACCCAGGCCCACGTGTCTGTTCCAGACTGACCCAGGCCCACGTGTCTGTTCCAGACTGACCCAGGCCCACGTGTCTGTTCCAGACTGACCCAGGCCCATGTGTCTGTTCCACACTGACCCAGGCCCATGTGTCTGTTCCAGGATGACCCAGGCCCATGTGTCTGTTCCAGACTGACCCAGGCCCATGTGTCTGTTCCACACTGACCCAGGCCCATGTGTCTGTTCCAGACTGACCCAGGCCCACGTGTCTGTTCCAGACTGACCCAGGCCCACGTGTCTGTTCCAGACTGACCCAGGCCCACGTGTCTGTTCCAGACTGACCCAGGCCCACGTGTCTGTTCCAGACTGACCCAGGCCCATGTGTCTGTTCCACACTGACCCAGGCCCATGTGTCTGTTCCAGGATGACCCAGGCTTGTCGGTGGTGACCCAGTCTCCTCCCTCCTCCCCCAGACGAAGGAGGCTCTTCCTGGGCAGCTGCGTCATCGTCCTCCTCTTCCTCCTCCTTTCTCCTCCTCTTCCTCCGGGACACACCACATGTCTTCACCTCTGGACCTAATCTGCACTTTTTATCTGTTGGATTATTACAATTGTTTTTGGATTAGCGCCAAAGTCTAGATTTAATATTCTCTCTATGGAAACAGACTTTGTGAGCTGTCTCTGGAGGAAGACCCAATGCTCTAAATGAGACTGAAGCAGGTCTAAAGCAGGTCTAAAGCAGGACTGAAGCAGGTCTGAAGCAGGACTGAAGCAGGTCCCTCTCTGGTCTCCCTGCTCCCCCTGGTCCCTCTGGTCAGGATGACTTCCATGTCCAGCCTGTTCTCCTTCACCAGCCCGGCGGTGAAGCGGTTGCTCGGGTGGAAACAGGGCGATGAGGAGGAGAAATGGGCGGAGAAAGCAGTGGACGCTTTGGTGAAGAAACTGAAGAAGAAGAAAGGAGCCATGGAGGACCTGGAGAAGGCCCTGAGCTGCCCCGGCCAGCCCAGCAAGTGTGTCACCATCCCCAGGTCTCTGGACGGGAGGCTGCAGGTGAGCTACTGCTGCTGCTGCTGCTGTTAGAGAGAGAGAGCTACTGCTGCTGCTGCTGCTGCTGTCAGAGAGAGAGCTACTGCTGCTGCTGTCAGAGAGAGAGCTACTGCTGCTGCTGCTGTCAGAGAGCTGCTGCTGCTGCTGTCAGAGAGAGAGCTACTGCTGCTGCTGCTGCTGTCAGAGAGAGAGCTACTGCTGCTGCTGCTGTCAGAGAGCTGCTGCTGCTGTCAGAGAGAGAGCTACAGCTGCTGTCGTCAGAGAGCTACAGCTGCTGCTGTCAGAGAGAGAGCTACTGCTGCTGCTGCTGCTGCTGTCAGAGAGAGAGCTACTGCTGCTGCTGCTGTCAGAGAGAGAGCTGCTGCTGCTGTCAGAGAGAGAGCTACTGCTGCTGCTGCTGCTGCTGTCAGAGAGAGAGAGCTACTGCTGCTGCTGCTGTCAGAGAGAGAGCTACTGCTGCTGCTGCTGTCAGAGAGAGAGCTACTGCTGCTGCTGCTGTCAGAGCTGCTGCTGCTGCTGCTGTCAGAGAGAGAGCTACTGCTGCTGCTGTCAGAGAGCTGCTGCTGCTGCTGTCAGAGAGAGGGCTACTGCTGCTGCTGTCAGAGAGAGGGCTACTGCTGCTGCTGCTGCTGTCAGAGAGAGGGCTACTGCTGCTGCTGCTGCTGTCAGAGAGAGAGCTACTGCTGCTGCTGTCAGAGAGAGAGCTACTGCTGCTGCTGTCAGAGAGCTGCTGCTGTCAGAGAGAGAGCTACTGCTGCTGCTGCTGCTGTCAGAGAGAGAGCTACTGCTGCTGCTGCTGCTGTTAGAGAGAGGGCTGCTGTCAGAGAGAGGGCTACTGCTGCTGCTGTCAGAGAGAGGGCTGCTGTCAGAGAGAGGGCTGCTGCTGTCAGAGAGAGAGCTACTGCTGCTGCTGTCAGAGAGAGAGCTACTGCTGCTGCTGCTGTCAGAGAGAGAGCTACTGCTGCTGTCAGAGAGAGAGCTGCTGCCGCTGCTGTCAGAGAGAGAGCTGCTGCCGCTGCTGTCAGAGAGAGGGCTACTGCTGCTGCTGCTGTCAGAGAGAGGGCTACTGCTGCTGCTGCTGTCAGAGAGAGGGCTACTGGTGCTGCTGTCAGAGAGAGGGCTACTGCTGCTGCTGTCAGAGAGAGGGCTGCTGTCAGAGAGAGGGCTACTGCTGCTGCTGCTGCTGCTGTCAGAGAGAGGGCTGCTGTCAGAGAGAGGGCTACTGCTGCTGCTGTCAGAGAGAGGGCTGCTGCTGCTGCTGTCAGAGAGAGGGCTGCTGCTGCTGCTGCTGCTGCTGTCAGAGAGAGGGCTACTGCTGCTGCTGTCAGAGAGAGGGCTATTGCTGCTGCTGTCAGAGAGAGGGCTACTGCTGCTGCTGTCAGAGAGAGGGCTACTGCTGCTGCTGTCAGAGAGAGGGCTACTGCTGCTGCTGTCAGAGAGAGAGCTACTGCTGCTGCTGTCAGAGAGAGAGCTACTGCTGCTGCTGTCAGAGAGAGAGCTACTGCTGCTGCTGTCAGAGAGAGGGCTGCTGCTGCTGCTGTCAGAGAGAGGGCTGCTGCTGCTGCTGTCAGAGAGAGAGCTGCTGCCGCTGCTGTCAGAGAGAGAGCTACTGCTGCTGCTGTCAG